CAGTATCACTACGGATAGTGAAGTCAAATTTATATCCAGGGTTTAAATTCAGTAATGTGTTTAATGCTTTGCTTCTTGTAATGAATCCATGAGGGCAGTGTCCATGGTTAGTCGTTCACTATTAATACCTTTATTGCCTAGCACTGAGTTAGGCACAGGAGAGGAACCCAGGCACTTAATAAGTATCTGTTCATGAATGATTGTGCCATAAGCTCCTGCAGCTGTCCTATGAAACTCTCACCTTTCTCCTCTTCTATTGCCTCAACAAGGTGGTAGGCCTCCTCCTGAATATGTTCTTCTAAGCTCTTCTTTCCTAAACCAAAGTTCCTGAACGTAGTCAGGGCAAACCTTCTTTGCTCCTTCCATACCCGGACGTTGGACATGACGAGTCCTGGGAAAATGAAAGCCCATATTATGTTATTCTGATTCTATAAATGTGAACATCTGGCAAATGATATGGGGATGTTTATCAGAGGAAGGGAAGGAAAAGGGCATTAAGCATTTGAAACCTACTCAGGAATAATGCCAACACAATGGATATAATGGCTAACATATACTGAATGCTTGGTGTACCAGGCACTTTACTAAGTGTATTTCATGTATTATGTAATTTAATACACCTAGAAACAGTATGGAGTAGGAATAATTATTATCACTACTTTCTGAAGACAAAACTGAGACACAGAGGATAAAGTAAACTTTGCAATGTCACACAGGTAGTAAGCAGCTGAACAAGCATTCACATTAAGGTTTGCCTGATTCAAATGTCCATGTTTTGATTATTAGTCATCTATACACCCACACACACACACATATAATCTATCTATATATTAATTTATATAAACAATATAACATATACATTATTTTTAAGCCCTTATATTTTATTAAATTCTAGGAATTAACTCATGGCTAAGAGTTCTTTTATGTTTTGCTGGATCTTGTATGAAATTATGAAATGATGGAGCTCTTTAAGATTAGGTCTAAAATCTCTTTTCACTCTATATTTTATTTTTGGGATATTTCCTCAACTCTTAAAATTCTAAATAACATATTTTGACAGGGACCATCTGCTTCTACTG